CAATTACCCTTTTGAATTGGAAATACACGTAATGATCAGCATTCAAGAAGCACACAGAGAAAAGTAACTTTTCTTCCTACCCCTGTCTCCCTGGCATCCAGTCACCTTTCTTAGAAGCACCTGATATTTCCACTCTCTTGTGTATCTTTTAGGGACATTCTATTGCATATATAAACACAACATTTGTGCATATATATATACATACTAATATATACATAGTCCCCCATGCTGTATGTACTTTGCAAGGTAATTTTATAATAATTTATCCTAAAATAAATCTATTCTTCCTTTCCTTCTTTCTATTCTCCCTTAGTTGTCCTTGAATTTCTTCAATGAATGGTTCCCACTGATAACTATAGCCTATATATTTAGCCAAGAGTAATTTCCCTAATGAGAGTGTCAACTGTCTCGAAATTGGGCTTAGTTCTAGGCCATTTTAAAATGACTGCTTTCATAATTAAAAGATAATGTCTCAAAAAATCATATGCTGTATTATTATCATTTTAAAAGTTTTATAATTGACAACTCTGACTCATACTTGACATTTGTAGACACCTGAAAACTCTTTTTCTGTATACTTTTTAACAATTACTCTCATATGTTTCAATGTGGGTTTAGTACCATTAGGGCTTTTTTTCATCTCAGCCATTAAAGAGTGATTTACCTCAGGCCTCTTGATTAATTAAGGGAGACCTAGAATTAAGGGAGGATACGAATTCTTCTGTGAGGACGGTAACTGTCAAGCAGATAATCCAGATAATTCCATAATCACTTCCAAGGTGATTTATAATTGGGCCAATTACTGTCTGTATTTCCTAATAAAACCACAATGTCAGCATGACCATGAAGTTACTTTTTCAGGTGCCTGGAGGCTTCTGCTACTTTCTGCACTCAGGCACAATGCTTCTGATACTTGCAAGCATTTTGGTCTTCTTTCTCAGGTTCCATAGTAATGTCTGATGCCCACCAGGCTGATCAAAGAAATGGCGATGCTGGGGTTGCATTATCACTAACTGAAAGAAGCACCCTTTCCAAGTGTCCCCGCTGGACGCTTGTGCTCAAGCACCTTCTATAGGGATTGGTATTCACAACATTTGAACTTTAGCTCCACTTGGCTACAGACATGATCGTTTTCAAGGGGCAAAATCTGAAGACCTCTGGTTTCATGGAAGTGGATCTATGATACTTGAATCACCTCTTGAGCTGCTAGCTCTTTGGAAATTGCAGAAAAACATATTTCAGGCAAATGTAGGTTTTAATGTCACACATTACACTTTCCAACTTAGGTCTCTAGATGTGGGAAAAAATAGTGTGCATGGCAGGCACAAAGAAGTGGAATGAATAATTATCTCCTGGCATTATCTACTCTAGATTCTATCCCAAAAAGAATGTTTTAGTGAAATGTATTTATTCACATTGGGATGAAAACTAGGATGTAACGCTAAGTTAATTTTATTTTCAAAGAAAATTTCATTAAAATACATAAAGGCTTTGTTTCAAAAAGAAAGAAACAGAACTAATGCATTTTGCCCAGATTTGAACATTTCATTAAAAGCCTAATGTTTAAAGTGCATTTTCAAGATACAATAATGCTGACAGAAGAATATCTGATAGGATGATGGAATAACACCATGATAAATCAACTGAAAATGAGACAAATCACCTAAGTGGGGAAAGAGGCTCATCTCTTGATATAGAATCAACATTTACCATGGTTTCAGAACCAGGTAATTGTGAATGGATGTAGCTTGTGTTTTTATCTGAATTGAGGATTTTCACTGAATATATGTTTTGACAAGATCTGAAACAGGTCTCTATGGATCTTATAGATAAAATTCAATTGACAACTCTGACTCATGACTTTGTTTATACACTTGTGCTTCAACACATCAGAAAAGCTGTTTTTTTCCCCTGTAGTTTCTAAGAATATCTCTCAATTACAGAGTCTAAGTCTGAATCATTTCTGGTAGTTATCTTTTCTAGCTTACATCCATTTTTCCTTCTTATATATATGCCCATTATGACATCTTTCAAAGCCCATCAGGGATATGGAATAGACATGCAATATTTTACTGACTTAAAAGTATACAGGAAAAATTCTTTCCAATAAGAAAAATTATACGTATGCATTTCTTTTGCCCTTGCCAATGCAGGGTAGCAAGGTAAACAGAGAAATATGCTAATATTTACTAAGAATTCTAGAATAACCATTCTGTTTACCTCAGTGGCCCATATTTGGCTCTTGATTTTATTCTGGTGGTCAAATTTTGCCCTTCTATCTTCTTATCAGTCACCGTTATTTTAATTGTCAACATCATCATCAGTATCATGTTTATAGCTATCACAGACAATTGCTTTTTCACAGTTACAGGGAGACTGTCACTATTCTATATGCAATCACATTTCCTAATCTCTTTCATTTCTACTGACTATATTAAATTCCTCATTGATACATTACTAATCAACTATGGTAAGTATTATAGTGTTTATCTAAGCCTCCTCCTTGTTACAAGTTCCCTATTTTCTCTGTCTTCTCTTTCCTTCTCTTCACCTCAGCTAAGATCATCTTTGCTTGCCACTATGACTACCGGTTGGTCTCTCAAAAGTTACCACCCTCACATTCTACAACAACAACTAGTTGGAAGCACTAATCTTCATAATTGATCTACCTTTTCCTCTCTGTCTTTGTTCTAATTTACTTATCCTGGAGAAAAGGATAACTTATTTTCCCTACACTACCAATATTTTATGTGTGTATGTATATATAAAATAAGGTACTTCCCTGCCCTCTCAGATGTGGTGTGGGAGTGGATTGATAAAATATAAATATGTAGAAGGATATTAGACATTTAAAATTCCATGGGAACTTCAAGAAAAAATTATTTTAGTCTAAAATAATGGGGAGTGTTTTAAATCCAGGAATAACCAAGCTCCCCCAAATGAAGAGAACTTTGGGAGATGTCAGATAATTGATCTGATATAAATGGTCTATGTAAATAAATTTTATGAAGAGGTAGCAGTGTTCATTGAAGTGAAGAGTTAAAGGGAGAGGGAGATAAAACTCAATGAAGCCCACTAACGTTAGAGTCTTCTGTGATATCTGCCCCATTTCTTTTTTATAAGTCTTCCTGTACTTAGACTTTTAAGTAGTAGATACATCGAAAAAAAAAACGTGGCCACACTTTGCTGAACCTGACATTCTCCTCATTTATTTATCCTTTGGAACCATGATAGATATCATTTCCCAAAGGTGATATCCCCAGAAGAACCAGGAAAAAATTGGATGTGGAAACGATGGCTCATTCTTGTGTGGTCACTTAAAGTAGCAATGTCAACATGTGTGTTTGTTTTATTACCCTTTGTACTTTCCTGCCCTTTTGAAAAAGTATTTCTAGAAAGAAATGAATAACAGCTGTGAAACAAGATGCTCATAAACGTGAAACAATTTTCCATCTCTGAACCTTCTCTATAAAGCTTTCCATGAATATCTTAATAGGAAATTATCTTTCCATTTCTTGGAATCCTGTAGCAATTTACCTATATTTCCTAATGGTATTTTCCTATTTCTATCTAATAGTAAAAGTATGCATGTAACATCTCCTCCCTCCACTAAAATTTTTGATAGAAGCACCTAAACTGTTTCATTTCCCAATTTTACAAAGCACCCAACAGTTAGTATTCTGCAGATAATCCAGACTCAAAAGTTGTTGAGTGGCTTAGTGGATAAATATATGAATGAGCAATCCCATTGAAAGCTGGTTCTCAGTTTGTTATTCACAAGATTTTATTTCAAATACTGACTTCCAAAGCAATGACCACAAAATTAAGAAATGGGATGAACATGAAGATTTTTTTTTTTTCAGAAAAACTTCTCTGAATGTAGTTCAGTTGTCTCTCTTGGAGATACTTAAAAAATATTGTTTCGCCAAAATTCTGACATATTTCCTTATAAAATATGCCCATAGCTGGGTATACTCAGAGGTGTAACATTTAAAGAAGAAATGAATTTAAAATTTAGTTTTCATGCTTATATTTGCCAATAATACAAATTAATCAATACTGAAGAAAAGTGTGCCATTAAATTGCCAATAAACAAAAGTAAGCAATGCATGAATTGCTATATAATATCCAGAACATTATAGGTTTCTCCTTTTACAAAATGTTATAAACACTTCACAATGCATTATGTTAAATTTCATTACAAGAAAAAGACAACATCACTTAAACTATGTATTTAAAAATTAAAGCATCAACATGATTCAATTATTAATAATTGATTCTTATTCTTTTTTTCTGATTCAGAATAAAAATAAACTAAATATCTTTAAAAAGCATTTCTGCAGACTATTAACTACATTTTTGTAATGTTCAACAAATAAAAACAAAAAACATTGGTTTGCTTCTAATTGAACAAAGAAAGTATCCACCATCTTTGACATGTGCACTTTACAAGTCTGTGATCTCTGTTGATTTCAAATAAACAATTTCAAATAAACAATGAGAATACTTAAACAAAAGGGAACAAAAAATTAGAACCTCTTCTTACAAAGTCTAAAAATTAAAGAGGCCTGAAAGTATGTAAAGTGGCATATTTTATAGAGATTTAAACTCTACTTTGATGTGTGTATTTAAAATCAAAACCAAATATTTTGGAGTAACCATTGAAACCTGCATGCATCCTGGTAGATATTCAAGCAAGTCAAGTCTGTCACTTGCTCTTGTATTCACTTTCAGCCACATTCCCACTTACGAAAAAATAGGGACTATGGCCATAATTTATGACACTAGTTTTATTCGTGAAATAGAACACAAACTAGGAAAGTTTTCAAATGTGGGAAGTGACAGGTAAAATGAAAATATCAGTAACTAGTGCAAAATAACAGCAAAATGAACACTATACTTGTCATTTTAATTAAAAGCTCTGAAAATGTTTTTCAGTTAACTATTCAAACATCTAGAAGATTTCTCAAAGGCTTAATGTAAGTTTAAGTGGAACCTACCTTTAAAATTTGGCCTGATTCTTGCATCATATCCTGATGTCCTTCCCATTAACTTGTCCAAGAAATCTGAAGGAGATAGGGTCTGTGAAGGTTGTTTTCCAGACCTGGAGTCATGATCTTTGCAGAAAGCCGTCCTAAACACATCATTAACTCTTTTAGCAACAATTTCATTTGCATCCCTTAAGAACTAATGCTCACTGCATTTTTAACATTACATTTTGGTAAAGATATTTGATATGTTAGTATGAAGAAAACTAGAAAAATCCAAACTCTTTGGCCAACTTCTGAACTTGTACATGTTCTAAAGTTAACTTTAAATGATGAGAACTATAAATCCTGAGTCACGTCTCTCAAGTTTCCAAACTTTAACCATAAGATGTTTGAGAACAGACAATGTAGTTTTAGGTTGTAGATTTTATGTATATATAGTTAAAACTATTCAGAAAAATGAGATGTTTTTTCAATTCATGTGATTGTCTTAAAATCATTTCTATCTGACTTAAAAAATTGTTTCAGCATTTCAGCCCTAAATATAAGTCCTCTACCTTTTATAAGAAATATACAATAAGATGGGCAGAACAAACTTATTATTTCATTGCTTATTTTCCCATCTGCTAGTTCTAATCCAACTATCAACTATTAATATTTTTCAATGTGATATCTAAAAGAGAACCTTCATTTGGACATTTCATTTCATTTTAAAATAGGTCAACAGTGAGCATGTATGTGACTTCTGTTATTTTATCAGTTATTTATACATAAGCATTTAAATTGTTGGCTCTCTAAAAAATATTAATGAAAACACACTTCTAAATCATTTTGACTTTTTATCACCAAAACACTGAAAGTTGGTTAAAAATTTCTCAGATTTTCATTTTCCTGTTAAAAGTAATAAAGAGCTTATTACACATAGCGTATTTGCTTTGTAGCAAAATTAATTATTTCACAATACATAGTGGTTAACTGAAATTTCTTCCCTAAACTATATATTTTATAAGCTTTGTTTTCAATAGTTTAACAAATAGTGTCTTATGAATTCTATCACTAAGAAAATACCACATTCTTACCAGTTTTTCAAAGAAGGGGTATTCAAAATAAGTGCAAAGATGATATAAATATTTTGTAGGAGTTAAAAATTGATATGATCATGCATAAATACTCACATTCTCATATGCAGAATCATCTGATTAATCAAGTATTATTTGATTATGATGGTGGTGGTGGTGAGGATGATGATGATGATGATGATGATGATTCTAATAAAAACCAGCCTATATTTTTTCTTAATCATAGTAGGAGGTGTAAACCTGAAAGGAACATAGTGGGTTTTCCCGGTATTCATAGCATTATTACTATGTGTTCCATTTATCTTGGTTCTGTGAAAAAATGCCATAAAATTTAATGAAAATTAAATTTAGAGTCCTATACTTTGTTGTAAGAGCATCTCCTGTCTCTGCTGAGTCTTTTACTCTCTGTCATTAGATGACTATATTACTTACTGGTAATGATTTGATATTTTGAAGTATCAATTGATTTGATAACTATTCGCAAACTATGTAGAAAATGCAAGCATGAAAATAGTAATTTCTCACTTTAATTATGCATACTCCACTTCTCATACGTACATAAATACAATTATGTCATATTAATTAAATTTTGGTAGGCAATCAATTTCCAAACAGATTGAATAGTAGAATATAGTAGTAAAAAGAAATTTTTGATATTTCAAGAAAATTCCTGAATTGTAATCCTCATAGTATGCTTCCAGTTTCTGAAATATAATAGAAGTCTCAAGTTGGCTGAGAATTAGGGATCTTTTATATTTTATCTAAAATGAGCATGCTCCTGCCAAATTAATATAATCATCTTATATGAAAAACACTGCACCCAATATCCCTTTAAATTACTTTCAGAAAAATTTGAAAGCAAAAATATCACCCTTATATAGAAATGTAAAGAGCATGCAACTCATCAGACTACCTTAATATCACATTGGCTGTGAAAATGTGTGTTGAATTGCATAGAGTGCGGCTATGCATCATAAAACTTGCTTTTGTGAAAATTTACCACCCTCCCACTATTATTAGGCTCTTAAAATGAACAAAAGATATATAACTTTCCTCTATAAAATTAAAATAATATAGTCCAGGGCACAGAGAAATACATAACAATTACATGACACATTCTCTTTTAAACAATTTAAATATCAACATGCAAAGTCGTTTCACCTACCTGAAGTGGTTTGTCTCTAAGAAAAATGCAAACAAGACTGTCAAAATGTTCACTAGCTGCCGGTTCATTCCTGTTTCTGTGTTGCTTGTGGAAAATATCCCGAAATGATTCCAGAAAGATGCTAGGACAAAGTATCTCTTTACTGTCCAGATTCAAAATTTGGCAGGAACCTAGTTTCCTTGAAAATCAAAAAGAGATTTGGTTTTGTACAGTTTGCTGAGAAAAAAGAAAAAGTGCCAGTCCTGGGCATCATGGTCAGGTCAAACCGAGGCTTGGGACCATCAGCTAACCCAGAAAGACAAAGCCTCAGAACCGATGAATCCCCCAGCTCCTTTTCCTGAATAATAAAAATGCTTCTACCTTAATCGCATCACCATGCAAAGGGAGTTGGTGATAATGCCATGCTAGATAGCTGTGGCTTTTGTTTTATATCTTTTCTGTTTAGCAAAGCCCTTTTTCTAGAAAATGTTTCCTATTAAAAAGAAGTTGCAAATGAGAGAGATGAAAGGACTCTGCGCGCTGGAGTGGGTGGGGGAAAGAGAGAAAAATTGCTGAGATCCTGTGCTGGAATGAGGGCTATAGAAAGAGACGGAGACGTGATCTTACCCAGCCTATAAATTTCAGCACTCGGACAGCTCCAAGCTCTGAAGTGCGCATGTTTCCTTTTTCAGTTGCTTGGGGCGGGGGTCGGGGAAAAGCATTCAAGAGGTGACGTGCCTGCTGTTCGAAGGCAAAGAGTAGCCATTCAGCGAGGGGGTACTGAAGGGGGTACGATGACAGCAAGAGGAGAACAGAGGTCTGGAGAGGGTGAGGGAAGTGGGGTCTGAGCTCCTGGAAATGCTAGCCTGTCGGTGGGTGGGCGGGACGGGAGTTTGAAGCAGAAAAGGGAATAAGGTTTAATCGTGGGAAAACGAAATTGAGGGAAACAGAGAACAGGATTTAGAGTACTGAAATTATAATAAGGGTGTGGACAGTTCACTCTTTGTAAGTGGAAGCCAGAGGCAAAAGAGAAGTCCTGTGCTGAAGAGAAGGAAACATTTCCTTGGCACAGAGAAGCCCGTGTGCAGAAAAAGGTTCATAAAGATCGATAATTTAATTTAGAAGTCCTTTATGCCTTCCTCGCCTTTTTAATGTTTTCATTTGATTTTAGCCGCCTATTCCCAAAGGATCTCTCTACCTCTCTACTAGGGAAAGCCCCTTCCAACTGAGCTTTCTTCAGTGGCTCAAAATCCTTGGGCATCCTCAAGTCACAGATTTGTAGAAAAGGAAATGAGACAATGGGCCGGCAGGGGGCAGTAGCAATCTTTTCTTGCCATGGTTAACGATTAGAGCAGGGCTCCATGTTAGAAATGGAGCAAGGAAAAGTGCAACTGGGAGTTTAGTTCATCTGCCCATTCCAGATGTTAATCACTGGGAACAGTCATGTAATAAAGTGCATATGGTATTCTCCTAAATTGGCTAAAGGGACTGAAAATAATGAAGTTCATAAATCTGTACAAAAGTATGACAAGTAACCCTGCTATTTCAAATTAAAATTACAATTATTATTATTAATAAAAAAGAGGAAGGGTAGATAGTCCAATGCGGATAATTAGCAGCTTCTGGGAAGGGGGAATAAAAAAGCGCATGTCCTACTATAAGCTAGGAGAGTAACCTATTTTTTTGTGAAATATTCCTTGTTAGTCACCTATGCACTTTACCGGAGGTCTTAATTTTAAAACAAAATAATATGATTTTTATTCCATAAATGACAAACTTTGGATCAGTTTAAATATCATAGTAGAGTAACAATGAATTCTATGTTTTTAAGAAGTAGATTCAGAGAAAAAAGATGGCAAGTTCTTTTTACCTTTTAATGTTAATATAAATCACCAGAGGATCTTGCTGAAATGCAGATTATGATCCAGTAAGTCTGGGGTGGGGCCTGAAATTCTGCATTTCTGAGAAGTTCCTAGCTGAAGCTGATGCTGCTTGTCCACAGATCACACTTTGAGTAGCAAGAGTCTATATGCCCTTTCATAAGATTTCTATCCCAGTAAGACAGTGAAAATATAGGAATCTCTTTTTAGATGAAACGCAGTGTGCCCAAGCATTCTATTTACATACAAAATCAATTCTTCAAATGTGTTTTCTTAACTTTCAAAGCCTAGAGAAAATGATTCAATTTAAAAGAAAAACAGTATGGTGTAGTGTGAGACATCCCTGGACTGCAGCTTCAAATCTGTTCACTTCCAAATTCATCCACATGGAAACTCTAGACCTGATTTTATCCCTGCTGTCCTGACCCAAAAAAATATATAAAATCAATTCCTGGAAATATTTCTTCAATTGGTTATACATGGAAAAATAGCACAAGATTTTTTTGTGTTCAAGATTATTTCCAAAACAAAATATAGGTATAAAGATAGAAGAAAATGATTTCTGTCAAATTTGTTTAAGGTTGTAATGATGCTTAAAGTAATATAGTCTTTGTAAATAATTTCTTCCCCCCACCCCTGGCCCCCCGAGATGGAGTCTCACTCTGTCACCAGGTTGGAGTGCAGTGGCGTGATCTCGGCTCACTGCAACCTCCACCTCCTGGGTTCAAGCAATTCTCCTGCCTCAGCCTCCTGAGTAGCTGGGACTACAATCACGCACCACCATGCCCAGCTAATTTTTGTATTTCTAATAGAGATGGGGTTTCACCATGTTGGCCAGAATGGTCTTGATCTCTTGACCTTGTGATTTGCCTGCCTCGGCCTCCCATAGTGCTGGGATTACAGGCGTGAGTCACCATGCCCAGCCAAATAATTTCTTTTAACAAGAGTTGTGTTATTAACCAGGAATAGGATGAGTAAGGAAATCTGTGACAAAGGAGACTCTGGCCAGCAGCATGAAATCACAGCATTATATTATTGTAGAGTTGTAAGGGACATTAGAGAGGATCTAGTTTAGCCTCCTCATTTTACTTCTCAGCTCTCCTAAATTTGGATTCCAGCCCTATCAATCCACAGAAACAGCTCTCACTAAGTCTGCCAGTGAATTTCTTGTAACTAAGTCCAAAAGACATTTTTCTGTTCTCATCTTACTTGACATTTCCATGGTACCTAATATCGTTGGCCTTTTCTTCCTCCTTGAAACACTTCCCTCTATTGACCCTGTGACACAGTGCACTCCTGGATTGCCTTCTGTTCTGTCTTCTTGGCAGGCATATCCTCTTCTACCTGGCCTATAAAAGTTGTATTTCCTAAAGGCTATATTCTAGGCTGTCTCCTCTTCTCGCACTACACTCGCTTAGAAAATATTACGGTAATATAATTTCCATTATCATTTTATGCACATGACACAGAAATGTATATTTCTACCCAGACCTATACATCCAACTGCTTTCTAAACAATTCTAATGGATGTCTCAAAAGCTCCTCAAACTCATGTCAACACCGAACTTCTGATAATTCCTCCAACTCCTACTCCTATTCTACTGTGTCTGTTTCATTGTTACCAACCAAAGGCCAAGGCATCATCTCCGTCATCCACCATATCTAGTTCTTCACCAATCCCTATTGATTTTTTCTCCCAAATCTTCCCACTTCCCTCCATCTCAACCTCCATGACCCCAGTTGAGATATCTTTATCTCTTGCCTGTACTGCTGCAGCCATCCTCTTACTAATCTACCTGAACCAACAGCTGGTCTTCTATTACCTCATCCCGTATGCTGAAACCAGAGTGATTTGTTCAAAATCAGAATCTGATTATGTCACAGCCCCTGGTTAATACTATGACTCTCCATTGATATTTGTGTAGAGCAAGGAAACTACTTAATGATCTAAAGGTTCCACATGGTCTGGCCCATGCCTACATTGTTCCTCATCTCATCCACTAACCATCTCATTTCTTCCCCTCTAGCCATATTGGTCTTTTTTCTTAGTCCCTAATGCTTACTGTATTGTTCATGAAGTATTCATGTCCCCCATCTTTGTCTGGTTAATACCACCCTATTTTTCAAATCTCTGGAAGACCTTTCCTGACCTGCAGTACTCTAACAACTCTATTACAGGCCTTCATAGTACTCTCCAACTCTGACTCAAGGAGCTCATCATCATTGTATTTATACATGTGTATGACTGTTTGCTTATGTAGCAAGCTTTGCAATGGACAGAGACAGTACATGTTTTGGTCCACCATTATATCGCCATACATTCAATGATAATGACAATCATCATAATGGTATTGATGATAACTAGTATATAATTTTAAATATATATCAGAAATTTGTGGCTTAAACAAAATAATATAAGTACATATGTATAGTTCACAAATAGTTCTTTCAAAAAACTACTTGTTAGGGAAGTAACAAGTTAAGAACTATGATTATTTGAAAGGAAACCAAGTTCAGTGGCTCAGCAGTCTAAAGCATAAAATTAAATTCAAAGTAAAAGATTATGAATTTAATATCCTTGATTCAAGTTCTACCTCTAATACTCATTGGTTATGTGACTGGACAAGTAATTTAATCCCTCTCAGTCTCATTCTCATAATATGTAAAATATATATATAACAAAGTGTTACATAATTACGTAAATACATGTTACATAAAATATTTCCATGTAGAATACTCTTGAAAATCACATGAAATCAAACCTGAAGATGTGTTTTTAGAGTCTTAATCTCATTTACTTAATTTATTTAATCTCATTTACTCACTGTTAAAATTCATGTTTTAACTTTGTTCATTGGACAATTCCACTTTCAAGGACAGTAAGACTTAGGAGCTTTGAAAAGGTTTTATTTGCAATGCAATGGAAACTGAAATCTAATTCTCCTATGCCTCTAACTTACCAAATTCTAACTGGTTGAGACATGTGGAAACCTTATTTTGTACTCTTTTTACAAGAGAAATGAAAAGATTGTGACGCATCCTATGATGTCATAAGGACCAACACACAATATTTGGTCTATATGATGCTACATATTAAACTTTAAAAGATAGATATAAACAAAAACACTTTTCTTAATGTCAATATCATTTACTGATACTGATAAAACTTAAGAACCTCTAACATATACATAATGCTTTATAGTTTTCAAAATACCCACATTATATGGCAGAAAAATAATTGATACCTATATATTTTCATGAGGAATCTATAGTTTGTGTAAATTGATCAATTTTCTCAAGTCTATATGATTAAGTGACAGTCATACTTTTTATATTTACTACTCATGAACAAAATTATTTCTCACTACATGTGATTGCTGTTATTTTTTAAGTCACTGAAAGCCTACTGTATGCCCACAACTACTTTTAATAATTATATTTTTGTGATTCCATTCCATTAAACTTTGGTTACTATTATATTAAGATACACACACACATACAAATATGTTGAATGGAATGCCCATATTAAGAGTCTCAGAGTCCATTTCCTCAAATAAAGAGTCAAAAGATATCCAATATATCAATATCCTGTGTCAGGACTTTTACTGAACAGGTTTCCTACAGAAAAAATGTCCTCCTCAAGTACAGACATTCTTTCCTCCACTTGAAAATATGAAGTAGAAGGTAAAAAAAGACCTATTAATTTACAATAGACACCCACCAAGTAGAGGTTTGAGGCACATTAGAGAAGGCAAGAAGTTGTTTTTACCAAATCTTTTGTTGTTAGAGATGCTTTCTCACAGAGAACAATAAAGACAATTTCACCTTGATAAAACGCACCTCCTGAATTTTGGTAGAGATTTATTTGTCTCAAACAGACTCTCTTCTCACTATAGGGCCGTAGATTAAAATAGATTTCTAGGTGAGAAGACCTCTGGCATGAGGATGCGTGGCCATTA